TATTTTCCCACATTCTGTCTTCGGAATCAGAGGCTTCTGCTTGCCATTCATACAGCATGGAAAGAGATAGTGGGACGTCTTGATCGTCGTCTGAGGAGAGGTCATGCACATTTTAAAGGGGCCTTTTCTTTTGAGGGGCCTGCCTTAGATCCCTCACCCTCCCAGTGGCGCTTATCCAGGTGGAATTGTTCCTTGGAGGAGGAATCCGATTCCTCTAACACCTCCTGGTATTTGGCATGTTTAGCCATTTGTTTAGGGGGTTTAGGAACCATGGGTAGAGCCTTAGCCAATGCCTTTTCAATTGAGGCGGTAACAGGGCCTGTAGGTCAGTGGGAAGTTGTGAATCTTCCATTTACGCTCAAGTAAAATATTAAGAAAATAATAATAATAAATATATATATATATATATATATATATGCACCCTTTGGGGCTCACCGAAGTGTTTCGTGGAATCAAATAATCGTATCGGCACAGTATAGAGGCTAATAGTTTGAGGGACAGGTTGAGGGGGACACAATAGCACTTGTAGGCCACAGATGAAATAATGGGTATTATGTGACACACTGGGGCTCACCCAGTAAAAATTGGGAGATTGCATAGACAATTCCCATTCAGCAGCACTAAATTATGGGGGCTCACCCTAGGCCAGAGTACTAGGTAGTGAAACCTAACTGACCGTCCCACATCCAAGGTAACACCAACCTTAACAAGGTTCCTGGAGGCAGATGATAAATAATGAGGTAGAAATAATCCAGAAAATCCTTATAAAATCAGTAAATCACAGAAACTGGCAGGAGGGATGTAATCCACGTCTATAAAGCACCTGTGAATATTCCGGACAAAAAAATGTCTATCTGGGAGATCCAAGATGGCCGTTAAAAAAGAACACAAAAAGTAAGAGCGGGAATGAAAAGAACCGAACGCTGGAGAAACCCGCGAACGGTTCAGTAAAAAAAAAAAAAACGGCAAAAGATACGAAATGGCAAACTATCGAATTAACAAAACCACGTGAATAAGAGATGGCCGCCATTCGCGGCCAAACTAGCGAAACCCAAAAGGAACAAATAGTCTAGCCGAACACGTGAGAAAGGTCGCAAATTGCAGAAATAGTGCGAACGTGGTGTCGAACACAGTATAACACCGTTCGATGCTGCAAATGCGCTAGTAAGAGTGGCAAACATAGCCACTGAGAGGAACATTTCCTGTCACTCAGAACTGTTAGGTGTTAGGGCACGTCTCAGTGTTGGGAATATAAGAAAGGGGGCAGTGAAGGGTATTAGGAGAAGGGTACCCAGCTTATATGTAAAGGTCAGGGACCGCTGAAGTGAAAGAATATGTACCTCAATGAGGTCCTGTGAAAAAAATTTCTCCCTAAGCCTCAAAGAAAGTCAAATAAAAGTATACAGTTATAAATAAATATAAACTAAACTATATAACTATATAAAATAAAATTATAATACACTAAAGTTGTAAAATATGTTAGTAAAGAAAGTTTATGCAAAATATGAAGCCTCCTGTCATGTGGTAAAATTCTATTTCTAAAATACCATAAATTGCATTTAGCATGTAGTGTAGGGTATGTTTCCTTATGTTCTTATAGAAACAAACATCACAACAAAAATAACTATAGTTTTAAAGTATCACAAAGACAAGGTACACAATAGAGTTGTGGCATCATCATCATAGTCATTACCGCTTTCAAAGGCAACCACAGGGTTATTGATTTAAAGAAAGAACTCAGAATAGGTCATGCTTCAGTCACAAAACTACATACAAAGAGTGTGACAATCTGATTCTACAACACTTCCTTAAAGTCATATAATGATCTTTTAACCACAACATACCTGTAACTGTGTGTTTACACCTTCACCTATAACAACCAAGTCATTGCTTAGCCTTCCAATCAGTCTCTTAGCATTTGGAGCCTTCTGTTTCATGAAAAAGTGCAGGAAAACCACCCCCTCTTTTAAATATGCCACATTTTCTTCTCCATTTTATTCTTTAAATGATCTTCTTTAAATAACATACCTGTTATTTAAAGAATATATATGGCAAGTTTATTGTCCGGCAACAAATAACATAAAAAAATAAAATAATAATAGACATGAGAGCAATAGGAAACTACAGTGTGTTATCATAGTTTAGTGGTTGCTGGTGAGATAGTTCAGTGGGTTGATGCACCTACTACAGCACTTCATCTGTAACTTAAATGTCACAGGCTTAAATCCTCTTAGACTTGAATCCTCTCAAGGTTGATGGAATGATTAACACATCTGTGAGATAAGAGTAATAATACACCCGTCAAGCTATGCAACATCACTGGATGACTCTACTCTCTCCTGTAAACCTTTGCATATATTCGTAGAAAGGCTTTATAAGCCAGACACTCCCTTACCGCCTTGCAGAGTCCTGTGTGTGTTTCTCAGTTCAATATGAGTTCTCTAGTTCGATTCGACATCTATGCAGTATTGACCATTTTGATTTGTGCTTCCCCGGTTTGGCTTTACAATGTCCATTCTGGTATCTGGTTTGTCTCGTTTATGCAATTTAGCTGTTGTCAGTTATTTTTAGAAACCCTTCTGGAGTTCTGTTAGTTAAACTTGACCGCCCAAGGATCAGCAATAATTCTACCTCTTCCTTTATAACAGAGCCAATCCCAGAAGTGTGTATTAGAAATGTTACAGTGATGTAGTGCAAAATATTGTCCCAGGTAAAGGAATCACTAAAGCAATTACATGTACATCGACTTATAATTTACTAACAGAATGGATCTCTTATTAATTTCCCTAATTGTGACATATTACATGATGTAGCCTGATGACAGCGAGGAATCAGCATGTAACCCGTTCTTGCTCTATCTATTCTTTTGTAAACAAAGTTCCAGAGATGGAATGTTTTCAAAGGGCTTCCATTAAGGCTTTATACGGTATAAGATGTATGTGGATATGCAATGACTTAATATGTGCAAATGAAACGCTTTGGAAAACATTTTAGGTATGAAGAAAAGCATTTGACAGTGCCTTAAAATGTTCTAGTGGAACGACTGGAATTTTTAAATGTGCTCAGATACAGAGCTCCATAATATATCAAAAGGTAGGATTAGTTTGGAACAGAATTAAAAGAGGTTTAAGATACTATTTACATGTGAATAAGTGAAACAAATCAAAATTTTCCATTTCAACATTCCAAATAAACATTCCCTTATTTAATTACATTTAGCGTTTCTACAACAAACCCTGCTAAATCACTTACCTGCTGACTCCCTAACAATGTCACGGAGGGAATGAATCCAGCTGTGATGGACATGCAGTAACATGTTCTCCTGATCCTAAGTTGTTCTCTAAGCTATTGGGCCCAGGCTTACCAGGCTTAGGCGATGGTTTTCCCATGGAAGGGGATTGAAGATGCATATACAATAACAGAATATGAATCTAGATTAAATTGAAAACTTGATTCAGGAGTTTAGATGTATGTGGCTACAGATGGACAAATTGTTTCAAGTAAGTATGGAATTTTTATTAAAGGGACACTATAGGCATCTAGACCACTTTATCATAATGAAGTGGTCTGGGTGCCATGTTCCCCCGGTTTAAGACTGCAACTGAAAACATTATGGTACTGCAGTATTCAATGTTTTCTTTGCAGGGTTTAAGTATCTCTAATGGTGTCACTCTGACAATCAGCTCTTTTTTGGCATTGAATTCAGAGTCAGAAGTCAAATTATTGTACAAAAAAATTAACAGCTCTATTGACCTAACATCTCTCTTGCTATTTTCTAGGGCACCTGTCTGGACAAGAAGGAAGCAAAATAGAAATCACGCCTTCCGTTTCTGTTGAACTGAGCTTTAGTAATATATCTGGTAAATGATCTGGCATGGAAGATCTGGATAAAAAATAATCAGGGCTAGTCAAGAGTGATGAACATGTTCAGGACTAGCCAAGAGCAATGACACTGTCTCTAGAACAAGTTAAAAATGCTGAAAATATTCAAGACAACCCAAGAGCAGTGACAATACATTATAGATATATTACTCACCCAAGACTAGCCAAACAAGACTAACCAAGTGTCATAGAAAGACATTCAGGACTAGACAAACATCGCAACAACATACACGACTAGTCAAGCATCGTATAAAATATTCAAAACTAGTCAAAAATGGTGAAAACATACAAATTAGCCTAGAGTTGTAAAATTACTCAGGTCTAGCTTATAAACAATAGTGTCTTTCACAATTCACAAAAAGTGTTTTAAGTGCTGACAAGAATTATATAAAGTCAAGCTTACCAAGGACTAGTCTTTTGAGGGAAATAGATTAACTATAAATGGTACCAGTATCCCGGACTAGTTAAGATCAGAGACAGTAACCAGGCTGACTCTAAGTCCTTAATTAAGTCCATTTATACCTCTAAAATGGTTAATTCCATGGCACCAGAATTCAGTTTTTAACAGTGTTTATAAATTAAACTGTGTTACAAAATAAGGTACATTATAGGCATGACACTGCTACCGGGACATCAGCTCATCAGCTGCTGGCTGAACTGATCTAGGAACTTTTAGAAATGCTGTCACTGTTCTCATAAGCGTATAGAGAAGCACTTTGGGTTTCTGTGAACCTCTCTCGCTCAAGACCTTGTACAGAGAGAGATGATGTGCTAACTATGTAATTAACAGCTGTGATCTGAGTCAGCCAGGGCCGGATGTACTGGGAAGCCTGTCTGTTTAATGTGATATGTCAGAGAACAGGTGATTAGATAATATGGGTCTTGGAAAACTGTAAGCTTTTAGTTGGCATTAAAATAGTTTTGTGACCTCTGTATCACCGGGAAATTATTTCAGAGAATACTACATACTATCAGCACCATTACTGATGTAATTTTGTTTATTAGCTTGAATAAATGATGCCGATAACAGTTTAGCTTAATCTAGACTGTATAGACAATGTTTAGGGAGTATAATTAGGGATTATTCTAGCCCTAGTGAATTTTATTAACGACAGGGGGTGAATATTTGCTTTATCTTTCTTTACTGAACCTCCCAGCAGCAAAGAAATAGTTAACAATAATGTAAAAATAATTCAACCAATCAGAGTGTATAACAGTATTATATGATGTCATCAAGCTCCTCCCATATCGTCTTTCTTGCTGTAGCCGACGATATCCGAGTATCAACCATGTAAACTGTAACTATGAACTGTGGACCAATTCGAGGTCCTGATGTAGTCAACCATGTAAACTTTCAATGGGATTGATGAATCCATATATCACAAGTGTTGGGATTTTTCACACTAAAGGTAAGTAGAGAAAAAAACATGAGAGTATAGGTTCTCATAGTAGATGAATGCAAGTTTATGGCATGCACACTAGGAACAACAATTTTAATACATTTCATGTAAAATGATGTTGAGTATATTAAACTCTTGGTTAGAGTGTTGTGGTGTAAACCTATGACAGATGATGTATGAATGTGTTTGAAACAGATCGACTAGAAAAAATATGTAGTAACTCACCTTAGGGCGGGTATAAATGATTATGAAAACAAAGAAGGGAGGGAAAATATTCGCCTCCTGTCGTTAATACAATTTAGATTATTCAGTCACTAGGGCTAGAATAATCCCTAATTTTATGGCAAGACAGGAGGCTTCATATTTGCTGTTTTAACGCTCCTATATGATAGAAGATGCAGCATGTGGCAATCTGTGGCAATCTGCAGATGACAAAATGTCTGAGAGGGAGCCACCCACATGAAAGGCTGAGGATGCGGCTGCTCCTCTGACTGAATGCGCTCCAAAAGAGGAGTCAACACCTGCTTGGGCTAGTATCCATCTGATCCACCGGGCGACGCTGGTAGCCGACACCGGTTTTTGTGGTTTGACATAGGACATGAGAAACCAGTGATGAAAAAATAGAAAAAATATGTAGAAACTCACCTTAGGGCGGGTATAAATGATTATGAAAACAAAGAAGGGAGGGAAAATATTCGCCTCCTGTCGTTAATACAATTTAGATTATTCAGTCATTAGGGCTAAAATAATCCCTAATTTTATGGCAAGACAGGAGGCTTCATATTTGCTGTTTTAACGCTCCTATAGGATAGAAGATGCAGCATGTGGCAATCTGTGGCAATCTGCAGATGACAAAATGTCTGAGAGGGAGCTACCCACACGAAAGGCTGAGGATGCGGCTGCTCCTCTGACTGAATGCACTCCAAAAGAGGAGTCAACACCTGCCTGGGCTAGTATCCATCTGATCCACCGCGCGACGGTGGGAGCGGACACCGGTTTGTGTGGTTTGACATAGGACACGAGAAGGGGTCCTGTAGGAGGACGCAGAGTGGTTGTGGCATCTATATAGTGCCTTACGCAGAGCACCACACAGAGTGACTGTCTATTCAGAAAATAAGGGTAGAATAGAGAGGAGGAATTAGTCTTTGTACGCCTGGTGATGTGAAATTTAACCCCTTCGGGCGAGAAAACTACAGCGTGGAAATCAAATGCTCGAATGTCGGAGACCCTACGGAAGGATACCAGATATAGGAGTAAGGCCAGTTTGGAAGAGAGTTGACGCAATGTCAAATTCTCATTAGAGGGCCAGGATTCTAAAAGGGAAAAAACCTGAGTGACATCCCAGAAATTGGAATATTTAGGAAGAGGGGGTCCCTCGTAAAAGTCTACAAACCGACGGGTGTTTTCCTATTGATGCATTGTCAATAGGGTTGTGGGCCGCAGAAATAGCTGATAGAAAAACATTAATTAATCTATAGGACTTGCCTTGATCAAAAAGGGTAGATAGAAAATTTAGAATGATCGTCAGAGGTGCTGAAAAGGGATCGGTATCCCTTTCCAAACACCAGCTGACCCATGTCCGCCATGCAGCGAGGTAAGCTCGTCTAGTGCCTGGGGCTCAGGAGTCCCAAATAGGAGAGTCTGAGCTGTCTCCGAAAGTCCCGAGACATTCCAGGATCCCCTGAAACGGTCCAACCTATAAGCTGGAGCCGACCTTGAAGGGCGAGTAGGTGACAGAGCCCTGCTGGATTCCTGAGGATGTCAAGGAGTCGAGGTAGTAGAATTGGGTAATTCGCAGATAATTCTAGTAGGGTTGGGAACCAAGTCTGGGCTTTCCATAGAGGAGTGACAATGACCATCGTCACTACTAGGGCTTTGACCCGGTAAAGGGTGCATATGCACCTGTCTCCGGCCAAGGGTGTAGAAAGGCATCGATGCTCGGGACTGGGGATCTGAGAGCCAGCTGAAAAGGGCCTCCGTCTGGCGGTTTAGCTGAGACGCGAACAGGTCCAGTGTGAGGGGCCCGTGTAGACAGTGAATTTGATAGAACAGGCGGGGAGCCAATTGCCAGTCACTTACGTCCCTCTAATGGCGGGAGAACCAATCTGCGACTAGGTTGTCCATGCCTGGATAAATTCTCTGCTCTAGGCAGAATTGGTAGAGTTTCTTGGTAAGGTTGGACAGTAACTTGGAACGGGAACCTCCTAACCGATTCATATAACGTACTGCAGAAACGTTGTCCATGCGCAGTACTAGTGAGCAATTGAAACAATCTTTTGTGAAACTGCGAATCGCAAAAGATCCTGCGATCAATTCTAGGCAATTGATGTGCAGTGCTTGTTCGGAGGGGGACCATAGGCCCCCGGTGGACCGTTCAGAGCAGGTAGCGCCCCAACCCAGGAGACTGGCATCGGATTCCAGAATGAAGTCTGGTTGCGATCAGAAAATGGCTTTGCCATTCCAGGCTTCCATGTTGTGAAGACACCAGTAAAGTTCTATACGAACTTCGTCTGTTAGATAGATGTACTGATCGTAGGAGGTGCAACGGTGCAGATAGTATGTCTTGAGCCGTTGTATGGCTCGGTAATGTAAAGGTCCCGGGTAAATGGCTTGGATAGAGGCGGACAGTAGGCCTATGGTATGGGCCAGATTGCGTAGGCGAATCTGGTGGGCTGATAACAATTTGCGAATGTCTTTTTTTATAGTTTTGACTTTTGCGGAGGGTAATTGCAAAATCGCATGTACGGAATCTATCAGAAATCCAAGAAACTGAACCTTCTGAGAAGGTTTCAGGGCCAATTTCTGAAAATTGATTACAAAACCTAGGTTTTGTAGCAAGGCTGATGTCATGTCCGTGTGTTGGCGTAAAAGGTCTGAGTCTTGAGCCATTATCAGGATGTCATCCAAATATATAATGGACCGAATCCCCTGTGATTGGAGTAACGCCATCACTGGTTTCATCAGTTTTGTGAAACACCATGGTGCGGAGCATAGACCGAATGGGAGGCATGTGAACTGCCAAATTTCCTCTTGCCAGAGAAATTTAAGAAAAGCTCGATGGTTGCAAGCAACAGGGACTGTGCGATATGCGTCTTTGAGATCAAATCTGGAGAACCAATCTCCCACGCAAAGGAGGTCTTTGAGCAGATGGATCCCCTCCATCTTGAAATGACGATACCTGACATAGTGATTCAGGTCTTTCAAATTGATAATTGGACGTAGGTTTTTTTGTGGACCAGGAAAATGTTGCTGAGAAAGGTATGTGGGAAAGGGGATTTTTCTATCGCCCCTTTTATAACTAGTTTGTGCAATTCTGTTTGTAGTGTCAGGTTGTCTGATGCAGACATCCGTAGTGGTGTAGGTGGTGTGTCCTGGAAGGGAGTGGAAAGGAAGTCTATTTTCGAACCCTTGAACTGTGTGTAGGAACAATAGGTCCTGTGAAATCAATTCCCTCTGTTGGAAAAAATGGGTTAGTCGACCTGCTATAGGTACATTGAAAAAAGGAAGGTTTATTACCTGGAGCAGTGCGTCCGCGTAAGGAGGCAGATCCACGTCCCCGAATAGATCCTCTATTGGTGAATAACTGCCTGTGGTAGGGTCGGGGATGTCCCGAGTGCCAATAATTCTCTGAAGGGCAAAACCTGTAGCCTGTGAAGGCAACTCTGCTGTTCGTTCGGCCTCATTAACGTCCAGCTCTCCCAGAAAAACGGCCTGACTGGGAACGAAAAACCCTGCGCAAGGAGGATTGGGCCTTATTTAGGGTGGTGAATACCGCTACATGTTTGGAGAGATCCCTCATAAACAAGTCTCCAAAGAGCAATCCATTGGCCTCTGGTCCCAGTTCTCGGGAGCTCAGATCGGCTAATTTAGCATCCAGTTTGTATATTGCCACCCTGCGTCTCTCAGTGGGTATAGCCACATTTGCGTTACCCAGGAAGCATAAGGCTCTCTGGGCCCATTCTCTGACTGTGTTTGGGTCAAACTCCCCACTAGTTATGGCTTTGTCATTTTTGGGACTTGGCAGAAGCCTTGCCCTTGCCCGCAGACACACTACTCCCTTTCCAAGGGCGCTTACGTGTGATTTCCTGATCTGAGGGCTGAGAGTGATGGGATTGATTTCGCTAGAAGTTTTTTCATGGAAGGCTGCCAACGCCTTGGGGATGGATTCGGCAATTGTCCAGACCAGCCAAGCTTTAAGTTCCTGAGAGATTGCGGGCTCAGTATTGTCAGACATGGTTTCAGGAACTTTATTAATGATCTGACAAATAAATGTAAGACAGGGTATTAAATGGGGTTCACCCAAGTGTGTTTCATAAAATTTATAAATGAGGATCACCCAAATCAACGTAGTTGATATGTAAGTGCGGCACACAATATTCAGTGGGGTAGACCACTATATTATACAAGTGGGTTGTACCACTGTACCGATAAGAAGTGGGGTTCACCTCACAAATAGTCAGACTTTTTAATGGGTATGTCTGTAAAAAATATAGTGGAGTGTATATATATATTTTGCAAAGGTGAGGGTCACTCATTTGTTATGGTGTGGAAACACCTTGTTAGAAATTGAATATCAAAGTGAATAAAGATGGGGGTCACCCACAACAAACATTCAATGAACAACAGTAGCAGAGAAAAAAGGTGGGGGTCACCCACAAGGCCCTCCTTTATTTAATGATAAAGAAAAGTACAGCAGGTATTTCTTGTTAATAAAACAAATGAGTATAATGAGTAGCTTGAATAAAAAAAGGGTGTCAGCACTTTAATGTTGCTGTAAGCAACCAAGTAAATAAGGTACTTACCGGATCCAACGTGGGACGAACGATTGCGATGTTAAGCAAGGCAAAAAACGCGATTTAAGATGGCTGCCTGCAGCAAAAGGGCGGGAGGAAGCGCGTCAGGAATTCAGATGCGAAAGGTCGGGAAACCGTGAAGGGTGCGAAACTGAGCCG